TGGATGCCGCTTCCGGAAGTCCATTCTGGACCTGGAAAACAAAAAATTAGCTACCGATTCTGCCGAAGTGTTGCGAACTGGCTGAATCCCACCACTGGGATAAGTATGACCTGGTTGCCACGCATCTGAATTTTGAACCCAGGATCATGGGGCTGCTTCAAAAGGAGTAACTGTGAATAACGGTCAAAAGTCACTTTTTTCAGTGCCGTTATAACTTTGAACTAAATGAACTGTTGTAAGTTGAGAACTACCTGTAGATAGATCCTGGCCATCAGTAAAACCATCAAGTTTCTTCATTGCTTCACAGGTCTCCGTCATGCATCTGAGATTCCCACCATCTAGATTAGATCCCATGAGATTCCTCCCCCCCCTCTTCTCTCTCTCTCTCTCTCTCTCTCTCTCTCTCTCTCTCTCTTTTAAAAAAAGAGCAATAAAAGCACACACACAAAAAGGCTAACAAAGCACTACCTTTCTTTCAATAAATGCCCCTGGGCCCCATAAGAAGGGAGTATTCAGGCAGAAAAAAGTGGGTCTGACAAGTCAGGTCATCCCATCTTTGTAACTTGACTTAAATTCCTGGAGCTGTGAATTTTCTTTTACATCGACCAGTCTTTTCCCTCTAAAAAAAATGGGTATTTTACAGCTAACAATGCCCCCCATCTTCTGATACTCTTGTCTTCATTAAAAGAAAAAATGTTCAGCTCCCAGCTGCAAGACTGTTCGTTGCCTCTTCTTTGGCAAGAGCCCTGATTATGGAGTTGGACACCACAGTCTATGAGTTGGCAGGCGGGCTTAGCCCAGACAATTTAAGTCATAAATGATGGCTCAGCAAATGAGAACTTAACCCACCATGTGAATCCTTTGAAGCTTATTTTGCTAGGTAGCAAAATTAATCTGGGCTTTCAGGACCTTGGACAGAAGCACCTCAAGTAAGGGTCATACAAAAATAAAAAATAGCCAGCAACCCTGGTAGCTGTAAAAACAATTTTTGTTAAAAATGCCTCTTGTATTCATGAATTAAGTTACACCAGGACTTCCAGTCTCACTGATACCATAGCCTCATTTTTATGTGTGGGTACAATTGCTTGGAAAAAATGATTAGTTAAAAGTTGCCAAGTTCTTGTATTTCTTTTTCCAGAAAAGGATCGCCTAGAGAGGCCAAAAGTTGAGAAATTTATTAGATTTTTATCCTGCCTTTATTATTTTATAAGTAATTCAATGCAGCAGACATATCTAAAACTCCCGCCTCCTCCTATTTTCTCTACATCAGTGGTTCTCAACCTTTTTAATGCCGCGACCCCCAACCGGTCGTAAGTCGAGGACTACTCAACTGGTGCAGCACCGTTTGCAGAATGGGACTTTTGGCGGGCTCAGCAGGGCAGAGACAGCCTGGACAATTCCTATTGGCTTTTGAAAGCCAATAGAATTAGACTCTATTCAAGAGAGTCTATTCTATTGGCTTTCAAAAGCCAATCGAATAAAAGGGAGTAGCACAGCTAAGGAAAAGGGGAAAAAAATGGCGGACTGCGTTGTGTGGCGACCCCCGTGAAATGGTCGTTCGACCCTAAATGGGGTCCCGACCCACAGGTGGAGAACCACTGCTCTACATCAACAATCCTGAGAGGTATGTTGGGGTGAGACAGTTGATTGGCCCAAAGTTACCCGCCGATTTCCATGCCTAAGGCAGGACTAGAACTCACCGTCTCCTGGTGAATGGCCCAAAGTCACCCAGCCAGATTTCATGTCTAAGGCGGAACTAGAACTCATTGTCTCCTGGACCAGCACCTTAACCATTGCACCAAACTGGTTCTCCTCCATGAATCAGGTTCTCACCAAAGGGAGGTGGGCCCTCCATCCATTCTATGGTGTTTCAATATCTGAAAGCATTCGCATGAAACAACGCCCAATTTCACGGCCATTTCAACTGCACTTGAGCAAGAAATTGGTTTTTAGTACCTTTGTATAATAAGTTTCTCTCGTGGTATCTAAGCGTGAAGAAACTTCACAAATAACTGCAAAGAACTGGCCTTTTTACATCCTTCTTTGCCGGCTAGGACATCAGGGCAGTTGAGGTCCCACAGATCTAGAATGACTCAGATTTACTTGCTTTACAGATGGGATTGTCCCTATAACTTTGCCCTAGGATGGACTTACTCACGATAGGCCTATTTACAGTACCGAGGAAAACATATCTTGGTTCTAAAAGGCGCGGTGGCTGCTTAATAGAAAGACCTCTACCTTGTGCTATTTTGGTTTTAAAATCTAATCAATAGCAAGTTTGCATAAAAGGGAGGTGCACATTTTTTTGGGCAATGTTCTGCTTCCCACTTTTAATCAATAGGCTTCTTATGAGACACTTAAGCCAACTGACCCACATGAATCTTCTTCTCAAAATGCTGTACTATGCTGGCACTACTCTGAGTGGCCACTTCTCATTCTCCTATTTATAGGAGCTGGATTTTGAGACTAGCCCTCCAGTTGCCCGAGTTCCTTTTCTCCTATTGTGATGGCTTGATCAGTATAGGTTCTCCTGCTCAAGCAGGGGGCTGGACTAGAAGACCTCCAAGGTCCCTTCCAGCTCTATTCTATTCTATTCTATTCTATTCTATTCTATTCTATTCTATTCTATTCTATTCTATTCTATTCTATTCTATTCTATTCTATTCTAGTCTAGACTAGTCTAGTCTAGTCTAGTCTAATCTAGTCTAGTCTAGTCTTATTCTTATTCTATTAATCTAAACATAATGGTTCTTCATATGGTTGGCTAAGTAAAAGAAGTTTTGTGGAACTGATGTCTTTCCAAAGTTAAAGAGAGAGCTAATGGCAGGACAGCTCTGCTTTCTTACCTGGACTTCAACTTGAACACCTGGAGTGCAGGAGAAATCCCCATCTCAGCTCTGAGCATTGAACTTTTCATATTTATGTTTCCTGCTCTCTGAACCAGTCAGTTGTGAAAGCAGAGAGTCAGAAGATTTCCCATAGCGCCGCAGCAATGGAAAGGTGCATCCTGTTAATGTTAGGAAACAACTTTTTTATTATGAATAGAATAGAATAGAATAGAATAGAATAGAATAGAATAGAATAGAATAGAATAGAATAGAATAGAATAGAATAGAATAGAATAATCTCATTGTCACTTTAAATGTACATTGATACATTAAAAAGAGATTCCATTGCATACACTGCATAAACATGAAATAACAATAAAATAACAACAAAACAACAACCATAATAATAATAATAATACATATACCCACATACACAAACATATATGACCCAGAGAAACAGCACAATCTAGTTCGGATGTATACATACACATGGTGAGAAAAATGAATTTACCAGATAGATAGCATAGGGAACAAAGCTGTTACAGAATCTGGTAGTTCTGCTAGAAACTTTTTTCTTATATTTCTTAGGCAACCTGCAACCTGAAAACACAGAGGCAGCAATGTATGAAATACGTTTTTATAGGATAATTGCATCAATACATCCTTCCGATAAGGTAGGATACCTTGGGGCTGTGGATACTGCCAGAAGACTACAATTCCCACTGCCCCAAGGTATTTGTCATCATCTCTGCACTTATGGGAATGGCAGGGACTTGTAAAGGTGCCGGGTCCTTGCTTTCCAGACCACGGAAGGTGTCCCGCCCCCTCCCACTGGATTTGACTGCAGTGCCAAATCCAGTGCATTGGAAATAGGCTGAGATCCAAAGCGCTCTAAGCAAAAATCTTCTGCTGAACCAGTTATAGGCAAAAGTCCAAGGAGGGATCCAGATCCAGACCTGCCATGGCACAGGCTGGATCTGCAGCAAGAAGCTTCATCCTAAAGGCAGGAAACACTTCACTAAATTTGGCTGAAGTTCCCAGAACCGTTTCTGAGTTAATATTAATGCTGCCATTTTTTTCCAGATATCCAATGAGAGTTTGCAAGTTTACCTGGTTAAGGGATAGAAAGGTTACTGTTTGGCCCAACCTTTTCTCTTTTTGGCTGGGGAATTCTGGGAATTGAAGTCCATCCCCTTTCATGTTGCTAAGGTGGAGTGATCCCAGGGATTTTACTCCCAAGGAAGTATATTTGGAATTGCAAGAAAAGAGTAAATCACCAACCACAAACTTAAGAGTTGGAGATTTCACCCGGCTGATCTCCGAGGGCCAACATCAGTGGAGTCTTTTGGGTCTTGACCATGAATTTCCCATGAGCTTCAAGTGAGAAACCAACCTAGATTTCAGTTTCTTCTACTTTGACCCAACTGAATATCCCTTCTTTCTATGAAGGCCTGGTTAACCCACTATTTGCCAGTTTTAATCACAATGGTGCATCTTTCATTGCATTTTCATATGTTGAGTTATTTGGCACCTGGTCAGAGACATTCTCAAAATCCAGGCTCAACTTTACTCGGGAAACAAAAGTTGTAGTAAAACATCTTCCTTACTCCACATGGCCTCTACTGCAGGGACTATAACTTGGGAAAGTGTACATCAAGGAACATCAGGGGGGGAAACCATCAGGAGCCTCATCTGGTAGTTTTGGGAAGCAAATTCTTTACTCCTCTTCCTTCATCCCAACATAGATGGACTTCTTATGTTCTCCTGGCCTCTGTTCCATTTGTGGAGTCTAGGATAGATAATCAGCAGAACTCTGAGAGGGGAGCTGATGCTTTTCCAATGAGGTTCTCTCTCAGGCTTCGCTCATTTGAGAGCTGCCGTGCCATCCTTCTGCCCCCTCCCTCCACTGGCATTGCAAAATCTGCATCGCATCCCTTTTAGAACTCAGCCCTTTACATGCTCGTGAGTCCCTGGGAAATTTTGCCAGTCTGGGGCAGGTGCCCCCTAAAGACAGTCCCTTTGATCCTGAATCGATCCAGACTGGTGTATCTTCCCCATTGCCTTGTCTTTAAACAGCTGCAAAGAGGGAGGCCCCCCCCAGAGGAAGCACCACCCCCTTCTTGGAAGATCTACTGGGTCCTATACAGACACCTTTTGCAGCTCCGAGCTGTTTCCCAGCCCTGTTTCGCTTTGATTCCTCAACGCCTGTCCTGTCCTCACAACTCCTGCCTCTTCTCCACACAACTGCGGTGTTTTGGAGCAACAGTATTTTAACTCTGGGGGGGTGGGGGTGCGGTTTGTTAACTGCCATGAGGAATACAGACCCATTTTTTGTCTTGGCTGTGCTTTCCTTTTCTATTAACGGTGAGTAACCTTTCTCCTTCTGTACTCTAAAAATAATAATAAAAAAAGCTTTGCAGACTTTTTGCAAGCATTGCCTATCTTCCTCCTCCTGTTCCTTGAAATAAGTCTCTCGTTTGCTAGGAAAATTGTTCCTTGAAAAAGTGTGTGTGTGTGAAGGGGGGGTGTCAAGGGGTAAAAGTTGAAGGAAGTCTACGTGGTCGTTGTGACACATTTTGTGGTTTCAGCAAGATGGGTCTGCTGTCACAGTGTAACCAAATTGGTTTTGGTGAAGATGTTTCCTTTGATCCGTGGATAGCAATGGAAATAATCAGAACAGAATACTTAGGTTGCAGGAGATCTATTCGGTTTTCGTCCATTTTGAGGTTTACTGTGGCCAAATTCTGACTGCTCTTTCTTTGGACATTCCTCTGATGCTTTTAAAAAGTAGTTTAAGGAGGCATACGTGCACCCGAAGAGTGACCAAGGCATAAACAGTCTTCCTTCGCTACGTCTCCTGCTAATACCATCATAAAGACTGATTAGCAGGGCACTAAGTGGCAGTACATCCGGCAAATAAAGACTGATTAATCGGGTAATGTGATTTCATAACCATTATCTGAAATAATTCCAAATGGGCTGAAATGGGAGGGTGCTCTGTTAAGTCCGCTGTCTATTTCTCTGCTTTTTCACAAAGACTCTTTCTACTATAGTTAATCCATTTTCCAAGCTACGCCTGATTTATTATAGCCTGCTCGTTTTTTTGGACGTCCACAAGAGGAATGGGTGGAAAGAAGAAGGTCAGAGGCCAGATTAAAAAATGGGACATCCACTTTTGGATTTAAAATCCCCCCCCCCCCTCTGGTTATGTTAAGGCGGGATTCTTGGGCTCTTTTTTCCATTAGAACTTACTTGTCTCAAATGCTGCATTTGTGCTGTACCTCTAGAGAGCCCTAGAGTGTAGAATTTGTTTTGGTGTCAGGAGCAAGTCACAAATTCCAGAGGATTTTGAGAAGAACCATAGCGTTCAGTAACAGAGGGGAAGGGGATGCCTACATTTTCAACCTCCTTCCTTTTACTTACTGGGGTTAGAAAAACTGAAATTCTACACAGACTTCTGGGAAGGGGTGGGAGTAGAAAAGACAATCATTTACTGTGTCGGTTCTTCAAGGCTAAATTCCAAAATCTGTAAGTGGGCAATGTTTTTATTAGGAGTAGCTAAAAGCTCAAAAGAGTGTCTTTCAGACAAAAATTACCTAGACCAAAAAAAGAGAGAGAAAAGTTACCTAGAAGAGGAAAGAAAGTCAGGGAGTGGAAAGAATGCAAAAGGTCCAAAATGAAATCGAATGTTTCAGTTCCCCAGTTGTGCAACTGAAAGGAAGAGGCGAGACAGAATTGTGGACAGAATGTAGAATTGGTACAAAATATTTGTACAGCCCGGGGATCTAAGTAGAGATATCACGTCAAGATGAACCAGCCTTCTTGCACTGGGCGGCTTCCAGATATATTTGGACTATGGGTTCCCATCCATTTCCAACTGACAGGGCATTTGCTGCCTGGGGAGGATGGGTTTTGTGTTCCAAGCCCATCCCGAAGTGATGCAATCCATCTGATTATCTGCAGAAACCTGGCATTAACCAGTCTTGGAGGACAGAGAAGAATGGGCTCCTTTTAATGGACCGATATTGCAGGGCTCTGCAAGTTTGTTGGCCAGCTTCCCTGCAAAGAAATCAATCCTTATTTCCAAAGTGATGCTCGCTTTAAAGTGCTTTCTCTGACGGGTGACTTTTTCCCCCCTTGAATTATTAGATAAGCACGTTGGCTGTGGGACTGCTGCAGGAAATAAACCAGCTGTTGGAGTCACAGCGCATAAGTTGCCCAGATCATTTGGCGGGTGGTTTATTAAATCACTCATACTTGGATTCCTCTCCTTCTGTTCCCCCCCCCCATTTGTTTGTTTTTTAAAAAAACTAGCCACTTGGGTTCTCCAGAGTTTTCACAGACAGCCTGTATTCTGGGTCCAATGTAAAATAATTTAATAGGCAAGGTGAAAAACTGTACTGGTCACATCTATTCATGGAGACAAAAGGAGGGGGGAAGCAGTCTTTAGGAATAACACGTAAAAAGGATGAATTATCAATCTGACTGTTTAATGCAGTGGTTCTCAACCTTTCTAATGCCGTGACCCCATAATACAGTTCCCCATGTTGTGGTGACCCCCAAGTGGGTGTGGCCACCAATAAGAGGGAGTAGGACAGCTAGGGAAAAGGGAAAAAAATGGCGGACAGCGTGGTTTGGCGACCCCCGTGAAATGGTCGTTCGACCCCAAATGGGGTCCCGACCCACAGGTGGAGAACCACTGGTTTAATGCATCAAGTGCTCAGTGTTTAATTTGGTCAGGATCAACGATTCTTAAAATAATGGGAAACGATGAGTTTTTGAAAACACAGAAAGAGCGGGTTTTCTGCACACAAACACACAGGCCTCACAAAAGTCTTTGTGCAGGCCATCTGCTGACATCTAGTGGATCGCAGCCACAAAATAAGGGGAAAGTTGCCCCAGACACTAGAATAGGATGGGTCATGGCCCATTTAAAATTTGAGCTTATTAATTTGGAGCACTCTTTAAGTGGACAGAGAGGAGGAGAGAAGAGGAGGGCAACGGAAGTGTTCAAAGAGATTTTCAAATCTGCTTTTGAATTGACCTTTCCTAAGCCCACCAGGTCTTTTTAGGTGTATTTTTAACACAAGCAATTGTTTGCCCTCAGTCTGTTAACCCCAGTGAGTAGAGCTCATTTGATGGATGGAACTATTAGCCATGGATATAAGCCAGAATGACAACAACAGGTCAATGCCAAACCAGAAAAAAAGACACACATCAAGACGAGATTGGACAGCCATCCAGAGTGTTATGGGGTCTCCTGCTTGAGCATGGGGTTGGACATGAAGACCTCCAAGGTCCCTTCTAACTCTTGTTATTCTGTATTCTGCAACTGAGTTGCATAGTTCTAGATCTAATCCACAAAGAAAACAATAGCCTACACGTGTTCTGGCACATGGTTCCAGTTCTAAGGGGAAGCATAAAAGAAAAGTTATGAGTTGTTTCAGGAAATTGTCACGTTCTCAGCTGGTTATTATCATCTTTGGCCAACGAAGAGCTGGCCAACTTTCTGAAGGACTCTCATGGGTTGAAGGTTATCATCTTGTCCCAGGTTGTGATGGGCTTATCAAGGACAGGATTCTGCCTCCTTTCTGTGACCCAGTTCTTTCTTTTCTACTTTACAGGAAGTGAGTCGGCTGATGCTGAAGAGAAGTTAATGAACCATCTCCTCAACGTTTCACGCTACAACAACTTAATTCGCCCAGCCTTCAATTCTTCACAGTTAGTTGTGATACAATTGGAGGTTATCCTGGCCCAGCTTATCAATGTGGTGGGTGCTTTCAAACTCTAAGTCATAGTAGCAAGACTTTATTACAGTCATTGAGCAGCATGTGTTGTGTGTGTGTGTGTGTATGCACATACACAATTTTTCCATCGTAAATACAATCAGAACAAAAGGCTCAATTTCAAGGAACGGAAGGAATGCAAATGAAAGGATGGACGCATCAATAAAAAGAGCACTTGAGCTACTTTTCACCGTTGGCCAGTTTATTTGCTGTTCTGCTTTTAAGTTTCAGGGAATATTCATTGCAACTTATAGTTCTGCGTACTTAAATATATCTGTAAAAGAGCTCCAGAGTTTTAGTGTGGTCGTATGTGTATACATGCCTGATGGGGTAAAATGAGATACTGCACATCTATAATCCCAGACTGTGAGTCTAGCTGAGTATTTCTAACCTTAGCAACTTTAAAATGTCTCCTAGTATTCTGAGAATTGACATCCACACATCTTCAAATTGCTGAGGTTGAGAAACCTTAGTCTACAATTACTCTATCTTCCAGCAATGGATATATTTTTTAAAATTTATGTTCCATTTCCTGCTCTGCTCTACCAAATCCCCTAGAATTAAGCTCTGTCTGACAGTGTGTGACCTCTGTCTCTTTTCTCCTTCAGAATGAACGGGAACAGATCATGACCACCAATGTTTGGCTCAACCAGGTAAATTTCTATGGGAATCTCTAATATTGTTTAGAACTTTGAAGTGTATACATTTAATAATGATGATGATGATGATGATGATGATGTCTGGATAGTGGACGTGGCAGTGCATGGAGGCAGCAGAATAGACGAGAAAGAACTGGAGAAGATAACAAAATACAAAGACCTACAAATAGAAATAGAACGACTGTGGCAAAAGCAAGCAAGGGTAGTACCAATAGTCATAGGCTCCTTGGGTGCAATCCCAAAACAACTGGAGCACCACTTGAACACCATTGGCATTGACAAATTCGCTATTAGTCAATTGCAAAAGGTGGCCTTACTAGGAACTGCTTCCATCCTGCGACGATATCTGTAATACCATCAAACATCCACATCTGCCTATCCCAGGTCCTGGGTAAGGACTCGATAGGTAGACAAAAATGCCAAATCCAGTCTGAACATATGGCTGACTATGCGATGATCAATAATAATAATAATAATAATAATAATAGTAAACTTGGAAGGGACCTTGGAGGTCATCTAGTCCAACCCCCTGCTCAGCCAGGAAACCCCATACCATTTCAGACAAATGGCTGTTCTCAGTTGCTATTCATCCCTTTGCGAGTGATCTTTTACAGAGCTTCCATCTGAACCCCTAGATTTGAAATTTCACTCCCAGGAGTTTCAATGAATCCCACGGACCTTCCAAACTGGAAATGGTGGTGGACATTTTTTTTTCCCTTTGTGGCAGGGGACAATTCCAGATGAGGATACTTCATTACAGCTGGGAAGTTCTGCTACCTTGTATATAATTCATGTTTTAATCAAGAGTCAGCTTTTTGCCAAATGTAACTTTATGTTTCGTACTGGAGGTACGATTAAAACAAACCAGCATTACCATCAGCAGAAAAAAACTCAGCCCAGAATTGTTAGCAATTTGTGCCTCCACCAGCAAAAGCTGCGATAGTCTAGAGAGAACGCAACTGATAGCGCCTTTTAAACCTGACCATTTAATGGAAGGCTTCGGATTTTCATGAGTTGCCGTGGCTCATTCATGCGTGAAACGCTTCAAGTGATATGGAATTTAAGACAAGAGGGTGAGGCATTTAACCCTGTCCTTAAATCCCACCTCAGTCACGCTGCCTGCATTTGAGGGAGGGGGCTGCAGTTTCCGAAAGCTGATGTCTTCCTTGAAGTTGTCAGAAGGTGCATCCAGACTCTTTCTGAATTTTCTGCAAAGCAGGGACAGTCAGTGAAATGTTGCTATGTGCTGCTTTTAAGGAATGGATCGATTACCGCTTAGCTTGGGAACCGTCAGAATATGAAGGCATCCACAAACTCAGGATACCGGCGAAGAAAGTGTGGCTCCCGGACATTGTGCTGTACAATAAGTAAGTTGGTGCCTCTTCATAAGATAAGATTATGCATGGAGTGCCTCTCCCGCTCCATGGCCAATGTTAGTTTGAGATTAATTTTTTTTAAAAAAAATACCGATTGCAATCAACGTTCAAGACAATCATTCTTAGGATAAATGAGGCATTTTTTTGCTTCCTAATGGCATACACTTTGTTGATTGCAGAATTGTGAGTCTGGGAGAAAGCGTTCAGTCCTAAATTGTTTTAATTGCTTAATTATAAATGGATGTTACCCTCAGGAGAGCATGAATAGCATTAAAAGATTCACGCCAACTATAAACTCGTGTTAAAATCCATGATATAGTATGGGGGTCTCCAAACTTGGCAACTTTAAGACTTGTGGGCCTGGCTGGGGCTGGCTGGCTAGGGAATTCTGGGAGTTGAAGTCCACAAGTCTTAAAGTTGCCACGTTTGGAGAGCCTTGATATATTCCATGCTATCGAGTCAATGCGGATTGTGGCAGCCCATAGTTTTGTTAAAGAAATAACTAAAAATGGTGTTTTCTTTTTTTATGCTTTTGCTTTTGGGCTTCATTAGTGCGGATGGTACCTACGAAGTCTCCGTCTACACAAATGTGATTGTTCAGCACAACGGAAGCACTTTGTGGATGCCGCCAGCCATTTACAAAAGTGCCTGCAAGATTGAAGTGAAGCATTTCCCCTTCGACCAACAAAACTGCACCCTCAAATTCCGCTCGTGGACTTACGACCACTCTGAAATTGATATGATTTTGAAAACTGGCTCGGCCAGTATGGATGACTTCACCCCCAGCGGGGAGTGGGACATCGTGGCCCTCCCGGGACGAAGAACGGAAAACCCTTTAGATCCAAACTACGTGGATGTGACCTATGACTTCATCATCAAAAGGAAGCCTCTCTTTTATACCATCAACCTCATCATACCTTGTGTGTTGATCACATCCTTGGCCATCTTGGTGTTCTATCTGCCATCCGATTGTGGAGAGAAGATAACTCTGTGCATCTCAGTCCTGCTCGCTTTGACCGTTTTCCTGCTCCTGATTTCCAAAATTGTTCCTCCAACTTCCCTTGACGTTCCACTGATTGGGAAGTATCTGATGTTTACCATGGTGTTGGTGACGTTCTCGATTGTGACCAGCGTCTGCGTGCTGAATGTCCACCACAGGTCTCCCAGCACCCACGCGATGCCTCCGTGGGTCAAGGTGGTCTTCCTTCAGAGACTGCCAAGCTTCCTCTTCATGAGGAGACCACACAACCAGTCAGCAAGTCAACGGTTGAGCAACCGCAAGAAGAACAAAGCGGAGTCTTTTCCTTCCGATTTCTCCAGCACATACAAAGATTGCACTTACTTTGTGAACACAGCAGCAGGCCAAAGGTACAACGTGAAGCTGACGGACAACCCTGATCACAGCAGCAGCCATCAAAACCTGAGGTTACGATCATCAGTGAAGTTTTCTCCCGAGGTCCAAGAAGCAATTGAGGGAGTCAGCTTCATAGCAGACCACATGAGGAGCGAGGATAACAATGAGAGTGTAAGTGACACACACACCACTCTGCCGCCGCTTCCTCCTCCCCCTCCCAAAATCCTAGAATTTCCTTTCTCTCTGGAGCTTGAGATACTTGTTCTCTCGTGCAGAAGGAAGATAAAGACGCAATCACTCATTTTGAGGGATGAGTATTGGGTTGCTTGTTGGACAGATCGGCTACCATAGAGATGGTTGCAAGGGGCATTTCTGACAACCAGTTGTAGTAAATCAACTCTTAGCAGAAGGGAACTCTTCTGAATTCTTGTCAAACATGCCCTCTTGGGAGGCAGAGGAGGCATACTCTTGGAACATAGAATAATAAGATTGGAAGGGACCTTGGAGGTCTTCTAGACTAACCCCCTGTTCAAACAGGAGTCCCTATACCATTCTGGACAAATCGTTGTCCAGCCTCTTCTTAAAAAACTCCAGTGATGGAGTATCCACAACTTCTGAAGGGAAGCCGTTCCACACTGATTAATTGTTTTCACTGTCAGGAGATTTCTCCTTAGTTCTTACCTTACTCCTAACTAAGACCTACTGAAAAAAAAAAAAAAAAAAAAACAGACAACCCAGTTTCTTCCATTTGAGAATAAAAGGGTTGAAAACTTCACCCTCCCTCTCTCTAGTAGGAACAGCTGCATTACTAATGGGTCACTCTTGTTATTAAAAGAGGTAGCTTCTCACTGTAAAATACTGACAAACGTTGTATGAAGAAAAATGCCAAGAATCCATTTTTTTAACTGAAATACACAATTAGCAAGCTCAGTCCTGATTAGTTTTTTGAAGGATTGGGGAAATTAAGGTTTCTCTTCTCTTCTCTCCTCTCTTCTCCTCTCTTTCCTTCTTCTCTGTGTGAATTTGAAGCATTTGTTTCTATCCATTTTTTTTTTAGTCTTCATCTTCCCAGTTCGTTATTACAGGGGTTGATTCTTGAATTGCAAAAAGGAAGCCATGGAAGACTATTGAAAAAACTGAGCTGGGATGAAAGCAAGAGATAATGTCACAATGGACAGTTTATTAAAGATATTTAATTGGTTTGTTTTTCCAGGTCATTGAAGACTGGAAATATGTGGCCATGGTGGTGGACAGGCTGTTCCTCTGGATATTTGTCTTTGTGTGTGTGCTGGGAACCACTGGATTATTCCTGCAGCCCCTTTTTCAAAACCACCTGCCTGCCATGAGCCCATAAGTTGAGCTAAATCTAACTCCAAAGACTGCGTATTCACAGGATGGGAAGTTCTGAGTTCCACAGTTTCAATTTCAAGATTTATACAGACCTTGGTTTGTTTCTTTTTACTGCCCCTTCCCAGTTATACATGAATAATCCATGTAACACCGTTACTGAGAAGACTATCTACACAGAGCAGGTTGAAAGAGGTAGGCAACCTGTAACATGTAATCACATGGCATTACATGTCCAAGGATTGTGTATTAAAAGAGTATTTTACTTAAGTATTTTGTGTGGGAAAGATTTTGTTATGTCACTTCGCTTTCTGTTGTTCCGTTTTTTCTTTCCATTTTAAAAATTGGTACATGCATCATGCTACAGATATATACTTCCTCCTTTCCCAAGGCTTACGTAGTACCCTATATTCAAGATTGGGCAAAATGGAATCCTAACCTGCTCTGATTAATGAGTCTGTAGGCTACTAAGTGTAAAAGCAATTGAGGGGTGCTTCAGAATAAGGAAGGTCTGGAAATCAGCACTATCTTGGTAGCATTTTTAATATTTATTTTGTTGGCCGATATATCATTGGCCCAAAGAAACACTTTGCAATAGAGTATATGTGCGCTGTGAGTACACAGGAAGTCCTTGAGTTAAGACCACTTGTTTAGTGACTGTTCCAAGTTAGGGCAGCACTGAAAAAAGAGACATGACTGATCCTCGTACTTATAACCATCACAGTGTCCCTGAGTTCATGTGATCAAAATATGGGTGCTTGCCAAGCAACATGTACTTATGATGGTGGCTGTGTCCCAGGGTCATATGATCTCAACTATAGTCATACGTTGAGGACAATCTATAAATCTGGGCCCAGTGCAGGACCTCCACATTCAGGCTTGGCTTGTATATTGTGCTAAACCACGGGTGTTTTTTACTCGTGGTTTAACAAAACTGTATCACATTCATCATCCAAATATCATGGATTATAAACCACAATAGGCAAATTCTAAGGCCGTGGTGGAGAACCTATGGCACGTGTGCCACAGGTGGCACTCAGAGCCCTCTCTGTGGGCATGCGCGCCGTTGCCCCAGTCCTAGGCCTTCAGCTGGGTTTTATAAAACCTTTTTGCTTTAGGCCACCGCCGCTGTGTGCAAAAAAAAAAAAAAAGGTTCAATCAATCAATTTCAACTTGCAGGAAAAAAAAGATCTTGCAAAGTTGGAATTGATTGATTGAACTTTTTAGTCCCACCCAGTCTGCTGTTACCATTGCAGCCACGCCCACCCAGTGGGCCACGCCCAGCCAATGGGCCATGCCCACCCGGCACCCGACGATACATAAGTGGGTTTTGGGTTGCAGTTTGGGCACTCAGTCTCTAAAAGGTTCGCCACCACTGTTCTAAGGCATAAGCAAGCTATCGTATGGCTTGGCATAGCAGGAGAACCAAATCACAAACTTTACATTCTCTTTTAACTCAAGGTCTACCGTGAGGTGACTTAAATCTGTGATAAGTTCTCCCCATACCTTTTCCTAAAAGTAGCTGCTGGGCTCCGATTTGTAGGAAACAAAGCTATGGAATACGAGGCTCTCAAAAATAAATAAATAAAAAGCACTATGAAATCACGAACTTTGATGAACCCGATAAGTTAATTATCCACATCTGCAAAGGAAGAAGAAAGAAATCAGTACCTACAATAAAGAGAGACGCTTTGCTTTTGAAAAATGTGGGGTGGAGGGGATGTGATGAAGGATTTCACCTGCCTGGTTGACATAGACAAAAATATTCATTTCCTAAAAAGATGAGGTTAGAAGTAAAGCAGCATCCCGCAAATCCTAACTCTCATTCTCCAAAATCAACACAACTCTTTTCAGTCCGTCTCACAAAGCCCAGATAAAGGAGCAAAGCATCTTTCTTATACATAGAACGATAGTCCGTCAGCCTCCTCGTTAACTGCTGAATTTGTGTTAAAATGTCAGAAGCACAGAGAGGTTGATCGGCCTTAAGAGAGGTCACTAATAATGCTGGAGACGGTCATTCAAAAAAGAGGGTCACAATTTTTGGGGGGCAAGGCCAAAGACCACACTACAATTTTGCTGATATAGAAGGACCCACACTTCAAAAAATGGCTGAGGAACAACAAAAGCAACACGTGGATTTCTTGCATGGACATGTCAAGGTAAACTAAGTCCAATCAATGCTTCTTATTCTGTGTATTTAATCAATTCATCAGACAGGACAACACCTATTGGGGTGGTCAAAATCACACAACTGGGTCTCACTTATTTTTGGCCCTGGGATGTGGGGCAATTCACTAGAGAAAGCAATTCTGTTTGGAAGAGTAAGCGATAAAAGGAAACCAGGAGGCCAAAGAACACGGTGACTGGGTACCATCAAAGCGGACACCACGCAGAGCATCACAAAACTCAAAGAAATAGAGGTATCCCTCGATTTACAAAAGTTCATTTAGTGACCATTCAAAGTTACAACAGCCCTGAAGAAAGTAACTTATGACTGTTTTTCACGCTTATGACGGTTGCAGCATCCTCAGGGTCACGCGATCAAAAGACACTTGGCAACTGACTCATATTTATGACAGTCCTGGGATCATGCAACCACCTTTTGTAGCCTTCTGGCAAGCAAAGTCAATGGAGAAGACAGATTCACTTAACAATAGCCTTACTAATTGGACGACTGCAGGGTGTTGCTTGACAACTGCGGCAAGAAAAACCGTAAAGTGGGGCAAAACTCACTTCATGAATGTCTCACTTAGCAACATGAATTCTGGGCTCAGTTGCGGCCGTAAGGTCGAGGACTACCTGTAGAAGAAAGATGTGGAGAGACCTGACCCACAGAATCGCCAAGAGTTGGACGTGATGTGAATGGATAGCATCCTCGTCATTATCGGGGTGGTGGCTTCAGACCACCCCCAAGCCTTTTCTGGGAGGACTTGCAAGTGTGCCTCTCATCAAGAGGAACGGTTGCTGGAATTGGGTATGTCCAGTTTAATGAAGAGAAGGACGAGGGGGACATGATAGCAGTGTTCCAGTATCTCAGGGGTTGCCCCAAAGAAGAGGCAGTCAAGTTATTCTCCAAAGCACCTGAAGGCAGGACAAGAAGCAACGGATGGAAACTAACCAAAGAGAGAAACAACCTAGAACTAAGGAGAAACTTCCTGACAGTGAGGACAATTAACCAGTGGAACAACCTGCCTCCAGAAGCGGTGAATGCTCCAACACTGGAAGTTTTTAAGAAATTGGACAGCCATTTGCCTGAAATAGTATAGGGTTTCCTGCCTGAGCAGGGGGTTGGACTAGATGACCTCCAAAGTTCCTTCCAACTTTATTACTATTATTATTAAGAGAGAGAAAAAATGGGACTTGACTTCTCTGCTTTAAACACACCCACTACTACACAACCCCCCCCCCCAGCCATGAATTATTTCCACAAAGCAACTTCATGAACTGCTCCCACGGGGCTGTTTGGCTCCTGGGCCTGACAGGCTGGCCTAAGCTCCACGTTCCAGCCATAAGTCATCATCATCAGCCGGGGTCCAGCATCAACTAATTCATTAACAGGGTTTGCCAGCCGCGTTCTGCTCCAAAAATCTTATTTGAAGGCAAGCCAGCTCAGCAACCACAATTCCATTATCCTGTTTTCATTTCATCAGACTTATTTTATTTTTTGTGGATAGGAGAATAGAGAAGACTTTGGCATGAAATTCTGAGGATGGGTTTAATCCTGCCCTGCATGGATAACAGACAAATTAACCCAGCTTCTACGGTACAGGTGTCAGCCTCTGCTTTTCTGCCCCTGCAGCTGTGTGGGCAACCAGCGCCCGTCCCTCGCTGGGGGCTGTCAGCAAAGGGGCAGGGCTGTCATTAGAGAGAAAGAGAGAAGAAAGAGCTGGCAAGCCCAGAAGTCTGCCTGCCGGGTGCTGACGGTTGCCCGTGTCTAATGAATGCCTCCTTCCCTCGTTAAAGTCCCAGTGGGTAAAATGCCACCAACTGACTTTGTTTCCAGGAAGGTTTATGGCTGAGTGGCAAATTCAGAACGCCATGGCGAGGCAGTCTGGCATGCTGATCGCATTGCTTTTCCTCTCCTTCTTCTTAAAAGGTGAGAAAGATTTTTCTGCCTTTGCCTTCTTTTTGTGTGGTTTGGGTGGAGTTCGAACAGGAGATGGGAAGACCTTCACAAGAGCTCAGAGGTATCTTTTAAGTAATCGTGGGGTTTGCGCCATTTTAGTACGTGGTGCAGAGTTTCTCTCTTCCCTCTTGCCTATTGTCTTGAATAGCGGACTTTATAGTTCTCGTGAATGTTTAGGGACTGGCTTTGTACATTGAATTGGGAAAGTGTGCAGCAACTGTTTCTGCTAAGCTTGAAATTTCAACAACAATATGTTGGTTAGGAAGTCCAGTTGGATAAGATAGCTGCTGTGAACAGTGAGTGTTCAAATAAACTCAACAGGTAAACTGGCTGGGTAAAGAAATTCTCCCTTTTTATAACACTGTAATCTCTTAATTTGCCATATGTATGTATGTATGTATGTATGTATGTATGTATAAAATCATATCTGTATTTCTTTACCCATTGGACGGAGCCAAAGGTTTACATCTGGCCAGTAAATGCTCAGCTCCATCCGGTGGGTAAAGAAATACAGATACGATAAAACAAGGCAAGTATGAAAAAGCATTTTATGCCAAAGACAATATTTAATATTCACAAGAGTGCCTGGAGACTATTAGTAAAGATATCTTTAAGTTAAAATTCTATGCATCCGAGAAAATAGACTATTTTGCCCCTTAAGAGGGTTGTCTTTGAAGAATGTTACACAAAGTGACCCAGAATTTAATACCTTTTTAGCAAAGAGAACATTGCAACTTTCTTTTTCCCAAGTAAGATAAAAAATGCAAAAATTCATGGATTTCAAATGTCTGAAAAGAGGATGGCTCAGTTATCAGTAGCATATAACATTAAGGATAAGTTAAATGCATTATTTTTAAAGGAGTTTTAAATTAGGTTTTTTTCCTTTCATCCTAGCCACTGTTAGGTGTTCAACTTTATCCAAATGAATATAAGTGGTTATTTTTGTATTTATAGTTTAAGCATTATTTATTGAGAAGGAGCTGCTTCAAATTATCCTAACACAGCTTTCTGAATTTAAAAAAAAAACGAGCTATTTAAAGTCTCTGAAAATTCTATTCACCCGAAACAATTCTTCAGGCTTCAGATATAATTATAATTAGTGTCTCCTTGAAACTAATCAAGGAGAGAAGCAACGTGGAATTAAGGAAAAACAACCTAACAGTGAGAACAATTAACCAGTGGAACCACTTGCCTCCAGAAGTTGTGGGTGCTCCATCACTGGAGGTTTTTAAGAAGAGACTGGACAGCCACTTGTCTGAGATGGTATAGGGTCTCCTGCCTGAGCAGGGGGCTGGACTAGAAGACCTCCAAAGTCCCTTCCAGCTCTATTCTAAATCTGAACCTGAATAACTTATTTGCTCTCTATGGAGTAGAGAGTGGGTCTCTGACAGAAGGCCACCTGAAGAGACTAGAAGCATTTGAAACGTGGATTTACAGGCGGCTGTTACGTAGAAGCTGGGTTGACAAGATCAGAAATGAGGAGGGGATAAGCCGCCTGAGAAAGCCAAGGGAAATCATCAAAACAATTAAAAAACAAAAATTAGAATATTTCGGACAGGGGATGCGACACCCAGAAAAATATGGCATACTCCATTTAATCCTCCAGGGAAAGATGGAAGGCAAACGAGGTCCAGGCAGAAGAAGAACATCGTGGCTTCAAAATCTCAGGGACTGGTTTGGACAAAACTCAGCAGCACTTTTTTGTGCGGCTGCTGATAAAAACAGGATCGCTAACATGATCGCCAACGTCCGATAATGGATAGGGCACAAGAAGAAGAAGAAGAAACGTTGTGTCCTCAGAGCAACGGGAGAAGTGGCTTTAGATGAAGATAAATTCCCATCAGACCACTGACTCAAATTCTTCAGAATTTCAGACTTCTCTGGGCAAGCTTTTCTCTAGAATCTTTTGAGGCACTCAGGATATATACGCCAACACAGCTTGGCGTATATAAGCAAACAGTGCCCCTGTTTGTTTATATGAGGGGGAAAGCTTCCTGGTTCCTTGCTTTGTTTTTTCTCTTCTTTTCGCCCTAGTTTTCTCATTTTCCCTCAATGAATTTCTTCCAGTTATAACCTTCCCAAACTTAGCTTGCAAAAGGATTTTGATTCAGAATTCCCTTTGGGTGTGGTTTTGGGACAACCACTAAATATTTCAATATGTATTAATGCATATTTTAGCAGCTCTCTCTCTCTCTCTCTCTCTCTCTCTCTCCCCCCCCCTCTCTCCCTCCCTCCCTCCCTCTCTCTCTCTCTCTCCCTCTCTCCCTCCCTCCCTCTCTCTCTCTCTCCCCCTCTCCCTCCCTCCCTCCCTCTCTCTCTCTCTCTCTCTCTATATATATATATATATATATCTGTCTCATCTTTATCATCTCTATATATCTATCTTTCTATATTGCTCTGTCTCATCTTTATCTATTTATCGTATCTATCTACTTATCATCTTTCTATCCATCTGCAATTCCGATTAAGTCTTTAAATCATTTCATGGATTATTATCCGCTTGAGAAAATGTACATAAGACAAAGATGTTTAATCTACTGGCAAGATATCATTTCATCTCTGGTTATGTTCCACATATGATAAGCTAGCAAGGGCCTTCTGTTAATGCAAGAACGCATAGTACAAAATGTTTTATTACTATGAATTTATTTTTTGACGACTAAAGCAATAAAGCAAGCCCCATTCATGTGAGAAAAAAAATCTAATACTAGAGATAAATGGATCCAATATAGAGTTGCACCATTCCAAATCAATCAAGACCATTTACCTAACATAAAACAAGTGCCTTTGCCAGATTAGCCTGTTTTTCCCTAGGTTTGTTTGTTTTTTTAATTAAGTTGCTTTTTTCCCAAGGTTTTAATTTACCAGGGAGAGCAAAAAGAAAACACACAAACAAACCCACAAGAAGCAGGTCCACATTAATTCCATCTCTCAAACAGACGTTGCAAATTGTGCTTTCTGTGCCTGCCACATCGGCATTAAGGAAATTAAATTGTATCACTTCCTCCTTCTGGATAACTGGAGGAAGCGAGTTTGTTAGTCTACAATAGCCAAAAATCAGAAGACCGAAAGGACTTTTTCAGACATGTACATTTTATTAAAAAGCAGCAGCTATTAATCTGAAAAGATGCTACCATATTCCTTCGGGATAATGAACTCTGAGCCATTGTCTTAGATCCCAATTTGCCCTCTGATAGATTTTGGTAATGGCGGCGGGGATAGTTTTAGGGAGCACAGAACAAGAGCTGGGCTGGCAAATTGATTCATCTCCAGAGAAGATTTTCTGCATAGCAGAAGGGGAAAATCATTGCTTTGTTGCAAAGGGAACAGAACCCAGGGATGAGCCAAGATCTTAGCCTCTAGCTTTAAAAGTAAGGTGACCAACTTTTTTACAATGAGAAGGAGGACACAAATAAATTGTAGGAAAAAAAAGTGAGTCTAATGCGTGTGTGTGTGCCATGTCATGTTTTGGTAAGAAGTAAACAAAGCCACTTGTGCACAGCGCACTCTTGCGCGTGGTGCACTCTTGCATGCGGTGCACTCTCTCAAAACAATTCTCCTTTGCGGAGCGCATACATCTCATAATCGCGTCTCGCCGCACTGTACCGAGCCTTGACGAATCGTCATGTCAAATACAAATACATCACATCACATGCAACGGATTGGATTGGCATCGATCGAATACGGAGATTTACAGATTTTAGTCTTCAAATATCGAAAAGGAGGACATGTAGGAGGACACTTTTCGAGAGAGGACAGAACTTGCAAAAGAAGGACTGTCCTCCCTAAAGGAGGACGGTTGGTCACCTTATTAAAAGGTGACATAAGGTCGTCCTTATAACCACAACAGAGCCCAAAGTTTCTGCTGCTAAGTGAGACATTCGTTAATATATGGTCCCATTTTACAACCTTTGTTGCCACAGTCAATTAAGGGAATCACTGCAGCTGTAACATGGTCGTTAAATAAAACTGGGGAACATCGACCTTGCTCGTCAGAAGGTCTCAAAAGGGACACTGCAACTGTCATAAAATAAGAACCAGTTGCTCAGCATCCAAATTTTGAACATGTAACCATAGGGGGCGGTAACTGTTATAAGTGTGAAAAAACAGTCATAAGGCACTTTTTTCAGTGTTGTTGTAACTTCAGTCACTAAATGAACGGTTGTAAGTCGAGGACTACGTGTAGGTATGTTTTCACCCCCTCCCTCCGGCATACATCCAGGTATGGTTCGTAGCTGGTGTAAAAGCCTATAGAATTGCTTTTAGATAGGGGCAAAGAGCAGGCTTCCCTAACTGACCTAGCAGTCAATTCTAGTTCTTAGCAGGTTCAATACTCAGAGGAGTATTGAAAATTTGTGGTATGTTTTCCAGGCATGTTTTGTTCCGACAACGAGCACCGGCTGTATAACGAATTGTTTGCCAATTATAACAAAATCATCAGGCCTGTTGAAAATGTATCTGATCCCGTCATGGTGTGGTTCGAAGTGTCTTTGTCACAGCTAGTCAAAGTGGTGAGTAACTAGAGAGCCTTTTATTTTAGAATCATCTGGTGGAGCATCCTCAGTATTTTCCATTCCCCCTCCCCCCCCCGTTTAATCTGTAGCAGTGTGATTTCCTAGAGCAGTGTTTCTCAACCTTGACAATTTTAAGGCATGTGGACTTCAACTCCCAGAATTCCACAGCCAGCAATGCTGGCTGTGGAATTCTGGGAGTTCAAGTCCACATGCCTTAAAATTGTCAAGGTTGAGAAACACTGTAAGAGTGTCTAATACAAGTACTAACTGCTGGCTGTTTTAGATCAAATGCTCATCAGAGCTTTACATAATTTAAGTTTTAAATATGGCACATGCATTTTTTTCTCCCTCAGGACGAAGTGAACCAGATTATGGAGACTAATTTATGGCTGAAGCATGTAAGTAAAGAACAAAAAGATTCTGTTTTAAAAAAATATGGGGAGAAGAAAAAAGTGAAATGCTGTGTTAGCATTTCAACTTTTCAGGAGTTAGGATTCTTAACTTTTTTTTGGGGGGGGGGCAACACACAGTAACTTACTTAGACACGCACATCCAAACAGTTTTTAAAATAAATAAGAGTTATACCTGAGATTGATGTCTTGGAAGTGGATTCAAGAGTTTTAGACACTTTTAATACACTGCTGACGCCTAGTGGTCAGGAATCTTAGGACCACAATAGGGATTAGGAAATTTGTCATTAAGCAGTCATAAATCAGAATCAGATTAGGGCTGGAAGGGACCTTGGAGGTCTTCTAGTCTAACCCCATGCTCAAGCAGGAGACCCTATACCATTTCAGACAGGTGGCTGTCCAATTTCTTCTTAAAAATCTCCAGTGATGAAGCACCCACAACATCCTCATTGTTAGGAAGCTTCTACTTAATTCCAGCTTGCTTCTCTCCTTGATTAGTTCCCATCCGTTGTTTCTTGTTCTGCCTTCAGGTGCTTTGGAACCTTTAAGTTGACCCCCTCTTCTTTGTGGCAGCCCCTCAAATATTGGAAGACCGCTATCATGTCCCTCCAGTGCTTCTTTTCTCTAAACTGGCCATACCTAATTCCTGCAACCGTTCTCCATATGTTTTAGTCTAGTCTCCAGGCCTTTAATCATCTTAGTTGCTCTTCTCTGCACTTTTCCCAAAATCTCAACATCTTTTTTACAATGTGGTGACTGAAACTGGATGTGGGATTTGAGTTGTGGTCTTACTAACACTTTATAAAGCGGTACTAATAAACTAAGCATCATGTCACGTACCCGATTTTTACAACCTGGCTGGCTGGGGAATTCTGGGAGCTGAAGTCCGCAGGTCTTGAAGTTGTCAAGCTTACTCGCCCCTTGAAACTTTTAAGACTTGCGGACTTCAACTCCCCAAATTTCCCAGCTGGCTTTGAAGTCCACAGATCTTAAAGTTGCCAAGGTTGGACATCCCTGCTCTGAAGTGAGGGTCTCCTTTGTCTTTTGTAAAACAAGAGGCTGCTTGCATTACATTTTGGGAGAGAAAAATCACAAACACACTCACCCACTTGCTTGGAAGGTCAAACTGGCCTTGGTTTTTCCGCAGGCAGTGGAAAAGGGGAGTCACAGGAAAAGAGTTGTTTGGGGTTCAACAAGAGGCAACCCATCTCTATCAAACCTGCTTCTTCTGGCCTCTCTCACAGGGAAGGCAGAAAGACTACGGGGGGGGGGGGGAGAAGAGAGAGAGAGGTGTTCACAATTGGATGCACTTCTTTTAAAGGCCCACCTGGCCCACTATTCTAGGTCTACTTTTAATTCTCTTCCTGAACTGCTAAACCAGTGGTTCTCAACCTTTTTAATGCCGTGACCCCCAACCGGTTGTAAGTCGAGGACTACTCAACCGGTCGTAAGTCGAGGACTACTCAACTGGTGCAGCACCGTTTGCAGAATGGGACTTTTGGCGGGCTCAGCAGGGCAGAGACAGCCTGGACAATTCCTATTGGCTTTTGAAAGCCAATAGAATTAGATTCTATTCAAGAGAGTCTATTCTATTGGCTTTCAAAAGCCAATAGAATAAAAGGGAGAAGCACAGCTAAGGAAAAGGGGGAAAAATGGCGGACTGCGTTGTTTGGCGACCCCCGTGAATTGGTCGTTCGACCCCAAACGGGGTCCCGACCCGCAGGTTGAGAACCATTGTGCTTAATGAATTGCATTGCATTTGCAAGCTGCTCTCTGAAGTGGTATCCGGGACAGGGTGGGTATCGCTTGCCAGGAGCAAATCCCAGTGTGGTTGGCCCACATTTCTCTGCAGTGATTTGCAGAAATGTTCCTGCCTGTAAAAAGCAACAAACATGCTCTCTATCCACCATTAGCTGGGGGATTTTATTTTTTAAATTCTACCACCTGGCTTTTTGCCAGCTCTGCTTTTATGGTCTTAAGCTGGAACTGAAGAAGTCTGGGAGTTGAAATCCACACTTCCTAAGATGTGGCTAGCACAATGTTTCTCAGCCTTAACCACCTGAAGACTTCAACTCCCAGAATTCCCCAGCTGGCCATGCCTTTGGTTGCCAAATGCCTGCATGGTAATTCAGAGGTGGGTAGAACGACGGTTGTAACTTTGAGGATGGGCCGTAAGCCACTTTTTCCAGGTCCATTGTGACTTCAACCCATTTAAGTCAAGGACTCCCTGTAGGATGCTTCCTTGTCCTTAAGATGGTATAAGGCTCTTTCTTCTTGAGGGTTAATCTTTGGATTAACCTGAAATATCTCACACTTTTCTTTGACCAGATTTGGAATGATTACAAACTCAAATGGGATCCAGAGAAGTATGGTGGTGTGCAGTATGTCCGAGTGCCGTCAAATAAGATCTGGAAGCCGGATATCGTGTTATATAACAAGTAAGATTACAGAATTAGATTAAATTTTCTTCCCATAACATACCTACTCTAGTTAGTTACTATCCCAGAGAGATGATTGTAACATTTTCCAAGCAGAACACACCACACTATTTATTTATTTATGAGACTTATATACCGCTTTAAGTGCAAGCACTCTCTAAGCGGTGTACACCAGTAAACAATGTATATATATATATTTACATTGCCCCCAACAATCTGGGTCCTCATTTTACCTACCCCGGAAGGATGGAAGGCTGAGTCAACCTTGAGCCGGTGAGATTTGAACCGCTGACCTGCTGAACACAGTCAGCTAAAGTGGCCTGCAGTACTGCACTCTAACTGCTGCGCCACCTCGGCTCTACTGGGTTAAATCTCAATATCTGGGGAAGCCTTCATGATTTTTTCCCCAAGAAATAACAAGAGCACTTAGACTTATATACCACTTCACAGTGCTTTTACGGCCCTCACTAAGCAGTTTACAGAGTCAGCATATTTGCCTCCCCGCAACAATCTGGGTCCTCATTTGACCAATCTCGAAAGAACGGAAGCTGAGTCAACCTTCAGCCAGTCAGGATCGAACTGCTGGCAGTGAGCTGAATTATCCTGCAATACTGCATTCTAACCACTGCACCACGTCTCTTTTTCTCTCTCTGTGTGCATGTCTATGTGTATGAGAGGGAGAGAGGAGGGGAGGCATGACTTATTTACATTAGTAGTATTTTCCCAATCACCAGATAGGGAGTGATAGGCGTGACTGCTGCAGTCAATACACTTTTGAGAGCTATGTTCTGTATTGCTCAGCATTGACCCAAAGGTGCTGTCAGAACTGAAGAAGCTTCTTGGATGAGAAGCGGAAATGTCCAGTTTGGGACAACCAATGACTGAGAATCTCCGTAGAAATGCCCAACATTGAGTTGATGCTTGCATGTCATGGGAGCAGAACCTAAGAGCTATAGTTGAGGATCCTTCTTCCCCACCTACATTTCGCCAGGATAGGTTGCTCAGTCACTTTTATAACCGATTCCAACTGCCAGAACATATTCTACACTCAACCCGTTATTTCAAATGTGTTTGACAGTGCAATTGGAGACTTCCAGGTGGACGACAAAACGAAAGCCTTGCTCAATTACACTGGAAATGTCACATGGATGCCTCCGGCCATATTTAAGAGCGCATGTAAAATAGATGTGACCTACTTTCCCTTCGACTACCAGAACTGCACCATGAAGTTTGGCTCTTGGACCTACGACAAAGCTCAGATTGACTTAGTCCTCGTTGGTTCCACCATGAACCTCAAAGATTACTGGGAAAATGGGGAGTGGGCCATTATCAAAGCCCCCGGCTATAAGCATAACATCAAGTACAACTGCTGCGACGCCTTCTACACAGACATCACCTACTCTTTGTACATGAGACGTCTGCCCTTGTTTTATACCGTCAACATGATCATTCCATGCCTTCTGATTTCCTTCTTGACCGTGTTGGTGTTCTATCTTCCATCAGACTGTGGTGAGAAAATAACTCTGTGCATATCGGTCCTCTTGTCCTTGACGGTTTTCCTCCTGGTCATAACGGAGACCATTCCGTCCACGTCACTGGTGATCCCGTTGATTGGAGAGTATCTCCTGTTCACCATGTTGTTTGTCACTCTCTCCATCGTCATCACCATCTTTGTACTTAACGTCCACTACAGAACTTCCAGGACGCACACCATGCCCGAGTGGGTGAAGATGGTTTTCCTCAACTTTCTCCCCCGCATCATGTTCATGACGCGACCCCCCAGCAATGAAGACGAGGGCAGACCTGAGAAAGTGAAGCCTTCTTCCAGTGCAGAGCTGTCGCCTTTGAACTTCATCCGTATACCTGACAGCACGTGCTGTCAAGACTGCTTCTCATGCCGAGGGTTTACACATGCGTGTTGCCTACATGAGCATAAAACATACTTGAAGGGGACCGGCAACCTGACGCAGAGCTCCAGTTCTGAATCCATGGATGCTTTGTTTTCATCTTCATTTATATCACCAGAAATGAGAGATGTGATGGACAGCATCAAATACATTGCTGAAACTATGAAACTGCAGAATAAAGCCAAGGAGGTATGGGTGTATTTTAATTCCCACTTTACACAACATACTTGAGGGGGGCTCATGGTGGCAAGGCCATACTGTAAACCAGGGATGTCCAATCTTGGCCAATTTAAGACTTGTGGACTTCAACTCCCATGCTGGCTGATGGATTCTGGGAATTGAAGTCCATAAGTCTTAAAATGGCCATGATTGGACAACTGTGGTGTCAACGAATAGCTCTGCACCATCTCCATTTTGGCCATTTCCCTATCTCACCAAAGTAGCATCTGCTCTGATTGACCACGATCTTGTGTAGTCTCAGGCGATGTCTACTTTCTACCAGGTGCCTGTGGAAGTATCCAAAAACAGAACAGCTCATTGGATCTTCTGCAGGCAATAAAGATGTGCCATTTGTGACTTGCAAGATGGAACGGTCACAGTGCTTAAGACACAGAAACCAGTACAAAAAGAAAAACAAAAAACCACACAATATTTTATTTCTTTAACAATAGTAGAAAAGACTGATTTTTTTTTTTTACAAAGGAAATAGGGGAGATACTTATTCACCAAAACTTGTGATTAGAGATCAAGTTGGTTTACAGTGATCTGAATATTTGTTTGAAACCAAAGAGGAATATTTTTGCAAATTATCTTCCACAGAAACAGGTTCATCCATAATTTTAATGCCTTTCAATTTCCATGGAATAGTTCACCTTCACATACTTAACAAGTACATCCTCAGAGTTAAAAAGATAACCAAATTAGGCAAGGAAGAAAGTCAGGAGCCAAAGACTTGTCATTATTTTTCATTTAAGTCCCCTCCCGACCCCCCAAGTTAGATTTAAGATAGAAGATCTGAGGATCCGCCTTCTGCAGATGTTCCACATAAGCCTTCTTTTGAAACTAATTATTGTACTGTCTGCAGAGAACTGTGCCAATGGCTTTGAAATATGCACAGCAAGCTCACAAAATAGATTATTCAAAAATTGATATAATTTTTTTTGCTTATTTCTTCCAGACTCAAGATGACTGGAAATACGTTGCCATGGTAATTGATCGTATTTTCCTGTGGGTATTTATTCTCGTGTGTATTTTGGGGACAGCAGGATTGTTCCTGCAACCACTGCTGATCAGAGATGAAGTTTAAACAAGGTGACACAGCAAAAAAGGACTTTTTTTCCCTTCTTTGGTGTCCAAACACATTACACTGATGTTGAACTACTTATTTCTGCTTCTTTGAGTTCCAAAATAAAGATACAGAAGAACATATAGAAGTGAAAACAACTGATTTGTATTATTCTGAGCTATTGTATAAGACTAAAGGATTTTCATGTCTAGGTTTTTCCTCTTTTGAGAGTAAGAGAATTTTTATGGTTCTCAGATTAAGCCTTAAAATAGTACTAATTTATTCTGCATAAGTTTGGACAAGGAGAGTCAGGACCATCTCTTTAATACAAAAATGCAGATCCCTGCAATTTTAACAAGCCATATATTAAAATCAGATAACAATTATCTTGCAAGGACTAGGGAATGACAGCAACAGTACCAATATATAAGGGAGGAAACCGAGCAGATCCAGCTAACTATAGACCTAACAGTTTCTTGAGTGCCTAAGCTGGAAATATTTAGCATCACTGGAATCAGAGGCATAACTGGACTAATACAAACCAAATTCCAAGGATGGTCACCACAGATCATCTTTGTTATACAAAAGCATTTGCACCAATTATAAACCAACTTGCAAACCAACTTGCCACAGCTAGGCCAAGAGGAACAACAAAAGGAACTTATGCACATTCCAAGAAGCTGAACTCGAAAAGGCCATTTCTTAAAAATTAAGAGTTAACTGGAACCAACCGTACAAATTCCCAGCTCATCCAGATTCATAATAATTTTTTTTTTAAAAAGTAGATAGAGCAGAAGAAAGGCTGTCTTTGTGTGGAAGAGAAGTAGAAAAAAACAAAGGAAGCATATGTGCATCCATGGGGTCCTGGGTGCTTTCTGAGCTTGGACGTTTTCTTGCAGATGTTTCATTACCAAACTAGGTAACATCATCCATGGTAAAAGGGAGTGAAGTTTGCTCTCATCTTAGTTGGGTAGTTAACTCAGACAAAAGTAAATCGCCTAATCAAGGAACCACCAAGACTGCTCCCACCAGCACTGACAGGGCAAGCCACTAGTATATAAAATATATTGGATTACTATATGTCAGCCCTGACCCCGTATTTCAACCCTGAACTACAAATATTCTCTTTTATCGATATCTACATCCATTTTACATTACCAAGTCAAACTGAGGGTTTGGTCAAGGGCTTCAAAGAAATCTTTGAGAAGCAAATTAGAAGGAAAAGGGAACATTAATAAGGATTTGGAGAACTGTTTATTAACATGGGGCATTGCAGCAGACAAATGCAAATAAGATGGTAGTAAGCATTGGTTTTCAGCTAAATCAAACGAAAAGATCAGGAATGATTTTTCCATTAAAGGTAACAAATCTCGGCTACTTCTATTAAAAAGGCTGAGAGGAAGATACAAAAACCTCTAAGCAACGCAGAGAAATATTAAGGAATCTTTAATTAACCCACTTTCCAACTGAAGGCTTCCGAATGAAATTCATTATATAATTCAAAAATTTCCCTCAGATTTACAAACTTAATAACAGCAAGTATCAAATGCAACATTTATTATCTATAATTATTACCCTTAAAGTGCAGTCAATATACATTTCTAAAATCTAAAAATAAACCTGATTTTTAAAAAAATATTTTAAAAATTCACAGCTATACACAAAATACAACTAGAACAGCGAAGTACCCCCAGCTCGTATCACCACAAACATTCATTTCTGAACTATTGTATAATTGACCCAAAAGGTTTCCAATTGTCTATCATCTCTCTAAAAGTGTGTTTTAAAAGTCTGTTTAAATGATATTAAAATCATATTTACTGTATCTATCTACCTTTCCTGTAGCATATTTTTCATTCCATGATTTGATTGTTGATTCTGATTTGAGGTCTACTTATATAGCAGATTTTCTTCACAGAAGATGGAAGGCATTTGTGCCTAATGAAAAATGTATAAAGGCGCACACCCCAGATACTTCATGGCAACTTCTGTAATCAACACATATTATTCAGCAAATGGGTTAGACTGAAGTCAAACAAAATCTTCTAAGAAAGGAATAATGAATTGCTTCTGCAAGGTTATGAAGAAAACTGCATGGGAGTTGAGCCGGATTTTAGGACGTCTTTACTTTCTTACAATCACAGAAATTGCTAGCAGACTTCAGATCCTTCGGTTATCACAAGAAATATAAATTGAGATTATATAGGAGGGAAATTGCATTAGGAACTCCAAAACACTCCATGTTGTACTTGTGCATTTCATTACTTTCTGTTCTGCCTTACCCTTTTCACCCTAACCCACTCCATCCGCTTCCTTGGCAAACTGAGCTTAATTCTGAGTGACAGTTTAGGAATCAAAGGCTAAGAGTAAGAGACAGAGAGCCCTCGCCTGCTACAAGGATTACTCAACTGTCACATGAAAGGACTAAAAAAATTTAAAATGTACTGTATTCCTCTGTAGTGGCGATGCGGAAAACTGTTGTATTTTGAGGAGTTTAGTGGCATATTTTGATTTCTCCTTCATATTAATGTATTTATTTAACATAGGGCATAAAGTACATGAATAGCAGCAGTAAAGACGTATGGAAAGAACACATAATATGATACACATAAGATGGAGATGGGTGGTCAATTTTGCAAGATATGACAGATTCAAGAAGAGATTCCTTCATATTAAGAAAAGTCTAGACCAGGGGTGTCCAATCTAAAGACCTGTGGAATTCAACTCCCAGAATTCCCCAACTAGCTAGATGGGGAATTTTGGGAGTTGACGTTCAGAGTCTTAAAAGTTGCCAAGATTGGACACCTCTGGTCTAGAAGTTCAGAGCTCATTCTGAGCAAATGTGCTTTTTTTTTTAACTTTTGAATATTGCATAAAGGCGAAGAGGGGCTGTAGAATCTTCACATAGTGCAAAGATTTCTTTTTAATCTGTGAATATCTCACTTTTGAGTTATGTGCCATCTGGTCAAGGTCAGGTCTCGCAGCCTTGTGACTACAGAAACAGAGCAATGAAGCCACGGTGCCAGCTTTTAACAAAAACTCTAGTACTGGCTTTTAAGTTGGGAGCTTCTGCAGAAAGCCTAGCACTGGGTGCTGTGGGGCATCTGTGCTGTTGTTATTAAGGAGGTCGTGACAGCTTTTAAGAGATTTCGGTATCATCTTGCTTGGCCGGTGTGCTTTTTATGTTAAGTTTTTAAATTTGTTTGCTTCACAATAAAACTTAAAAATCTCTTTTTCATTGCTGTGCTCAGTCTCTGGATCCAGAACCACCAATTTCCTGGGCACCTGATCCCTGCCCTGACACTTGACAAAACTTATCCTCATCCACTGCCACAGCAGTTTCAATGATGGTCATCCTAAACACCTTAAATGTTAAAGTGTCATGTTAATATTTTTGCTATAATATTCTGCAAATAATCTTAAGATCCTGATGGAATCCAGGAAGGCTGTAATTAAGAGGGGAAAAACATCCATCTTACAATTTTCCTGGTTAAATATCACCATGAATTTTTCCCTCCCACTTGCATTCTCAGATATTTCATTATTAGTTTAGGATATCTAGGAATTTAGGATAGCTAGGAATTAGCATCCCTAGAAGCACTGTTAAAATTCTGCCCCTGCTCACAGATTTATTTATTAACAATCCCAGCATTGACTGGTACTATTTTGCTTGCCCATTTATGAATTACAGGAAGAAACAACATCAGGGATCCAGTAACTGCAACCAGAAAGAACAGCCATAGGAACACACGATCAAGCACCTGAGCTATAAATTGCCAGTCCTCCACAACCTAAAAAAAAATAAAAAATAAAAATTCAGTAACTTTCCTTAAGCATTCGGATCTACCAGTATCTGAGTTTAGTTCTAGAAAATAACAAAGCAGGCAGAGGCAACAATATACCTATATAAAAGCCATAACATAATAAATAGAAGGGATACAAATCAGAAGTAAATAAACCATCTTTATAATAGGTATTCCCTACTGTAGGTTTTACTTATTACTGAATAATATTAATTACTAAAACTGAATTTCATCAGGGAATGAAAAATTCTCAGTATATTTTAAAATACCTGTGCTTATTAAGGCTATTTTTTAGGCTTGAATCATACTTTATACACAAACTGGAAAAAATGGATCATGGACAAACATGTGTCAGCGATATAAATTGTTTAACTTTTTTTGCATGCTATGGATCCAAAATTTTCACTATCTTGATCCAAAACAATAGATCCAAGTTATTCATATGATACCTATCACTGAGATCATAGTAAAATACAATAAAAGCTCTTTGGCGATTTAGATGTTGTAAGTTGCCCCCGAAGGAATTGTTTCCATCAGCATAACTAAGATTCCCCTTCCTCTCAAAAGACATCCAAACACAGCACAGCATCTAAAAACCATCAGATTAAGGTTCTCATAGAAGAGAGTATCAGTAGCTCAGGACTGAACTGTGGAGTCTATGATACTCTCTGAGATTATTTTCTTGCAGACGTTTCATGGGCCAACAAGATTACCACATCAATGCAAGATGTTCACCATCAGAGCACCATCAACATCATCATTGATGATGCTACCTAGTTGGGTAATGAAATGTCCACAAGCGAACCACCAAGCTCAGAGAACACCCAGGGCTCCAGATTAAGGTTCTACTGCATAACTTTGTGTATTTCCCTTTCTAACGATCAACTCAACCAGTGAATTGCAACACAACTAGAACACACACCTCATGTACTTCATTCTCTTTGACAATGTGTCTTATAATGTACCGGACAGAATTTAAGGCTGCTTCTAAAGTATTCCTAGGTTCCTCAGATCCCTGGGTGTCCATGGTGTCTTCTTCCTTTGGTACTGAGTACCTATCGACGTGACCTCTCATACAAAGCAGTTTGGGAAGTTTGCGAAGAAATATTTTGCGGACCCACGGTGCCATCGCGTTGTGCGTCGATGAGGATCGATGATGAACATTAATAGCAAAGACAGTTATTACTATAGATAAGGTCACAAAAATCATGGTGAAGACCAAGTACTCGCCAATCAGTGGTATGACCTTAGAAGAAGATGGGATAATTTCTTCTATAACTAGAAGGAAGACGGTGAGTGAGACCAGAACGGAAGTGCAGAGAGAGATTTTCTCTCCTTCGTAGGCAGGGAGATAGAAGACAAGGACGGTTAAGAAAGACAGCCCTATGCATGGAACAATGAGGAAGAGCGTATAAAAGAGAGGCAAGCGCCTAATTATAAATGAGTAGGTAATAAAGGGGTACCAGCAGCTTCCGTCAGTTCTGTTCCTTCTGATACCCGTTGCGGTTACTATTTCCCATTCTCCATTGTCAAAGAAATCTCTTTTGTCTACTTCTTCATCCACAAGCATTATATCCACCTGAGAACCATCGTATGTCCACGAGCCAAACTTCATGGAGCAGTTCTGGAGGTCAAATGGAAAGTAAGTGACGTCAATGGTGCAAGAGCTTTTAAAGTTCGCGGGTGGGGTCCAAACAATAGTGCCATCGTGTTTCACTATGGCCTTTGTAGATGTCCCTTCAAAATGACCATCTGCACTGAAAGAATATCAGCAAAGGGTTATGAAAGGTGCAAGATATGGTTTTCCACAAAAAACTAAGTTTACTTTTTCCAGTGCAATTTTTTTTTTTTCAAATTGTATAACCCTGCTTAATCCTTTACAGGCAAAAAATTGAGTTAGATGACCCCTGTAAGATATGGTCCAGCCACAATTAAAATTATTAATGTTGAACAAACAGATAGGGGTTAATGAATACTATCATGATAATTTATTTTGAATTATGGTCACACGATCCTCTTTGAAAGGAACAGCTGAATCTTTTTTGCAGACATACCCGCCCTTCTGTAAAAACTCTCTGCTCCAATAGATAAAAAATAAAACCAAATATCTGAATGAGGCGCTGCACTTCTTTACATGAGCTCCTCAAATGAGGATCCAATTATCTTCTACTGCTGCTCTGAATTCAGTCTCTTGGGAATCTGCACAGCATCATTTCTGCTGCTTCTTGTTCATTTTTTCCAGAAAGTAACGTAGTCTACAAGTGAAGGTAGGATATTAAGGGGAACGCTCCCGATTCTTAATTCCCTCTGGGTAAGAACTCTCTGCAATCATGGGAGTCGTCCTCCTTGGAAAATTGGGAGATTGAAGGAGACAACAAACTCTTTTATTTCATTACCTGCCCAGGGCTTTTCAACCTGGTTTTCCGCATTTTCTTGGGCTCAAGTCTATATGGCTGATCTGCCCTTTTAATATATTTTAAAAACTGAAATCTTACTTATCGTATAAAACAATGTCTGGAATCCATAGTGAAGCTGAAGGGACACGGATAGATGTTATTCCAGCATAGTCCTTAGGATCCCACTTCAGTTTTACATCAACCCATTCCTGCAAAGGAATACAGACTTATCTTCAATTTTATCTTGAACCTGAAACAGCTCCAAAAGCAACAATTGAAATGTTTACTATGTTACTATGAGGAGTGGCTACCTTGCTTCAAAACATATTTGTTTGTAATTTTTGTTTGTTACTTTTGATAAACTTACTAGACTCATGTTCATTTGCCCAGGAACGTTTTATGGTTTTAATATTTCTGGAAGATCCATCTCTCTGCTTAAAATTCCTTGCCGATTTACTATAAATCATTCAGGATCGATAGGGAATCCTGATCTATCTTTTTCCACTGTATCTTCCATGCTGATATAACCCAAGGGCATGAATCATCAATCCACCGACATTATGAAGAAACCCACTCAAAACATTTTCAAGAAGGACTCACCTGCTTCAGCCAAACATTTGTGGTCATCAACTGATTTTTTTCATCCTATTGGAGGAAAAGTGTATTAAATATAATCAAAGGTTTTCGACCAGACCCTTTGGAAAGCCAATAGAATAGACTCTCTTGAATAAAGTCTAATTCTATTGGCTTTCAAAAGCCAATAGGAATTGTTCAGGCTGTCTCTGCCCTGGTGAGCATGCCAAAAATCCCATTCTGCAAACGGTGCTGCACCAGTTGAGTAGTCCTCGACTTACGACCGGTTGAGTAGTCCACAACTTACGACCGGTTGGGGGTCGTGGCATTAAAAAGATTGAGAACCACTGGTCTATTCTATTGGCTTTCAAAAGCTAATAGAATAAAAGGGAGTAGCACAACTAAGGAAAAGGGGGGAAAAAAGGGCGGACTGCGTTGTTTGGCGACCCCTGTGAAATGGTCGTTCGACCCCAAATGGGATCCTGACCCACAGGTTGAGAACTACTGGTTTAGAAGGTAAGAGCCAGAAAGTGCTTTAGCATCTCAGCTGAACCTTGGGAAGACTTCTGGTAGCTTCTCCCTCCTAAATAGGTGTTTCCTTTCCAATGTGCCCCTTGAAGGCATAATGAAATAGCAGAAGCAGCTGACACTTGAATTTCATTCCCCCAATAATTGTTAGGCATCAACAACCAGACTCACACTTGTAGAGTTCAAACAGGCTACTTTATTGTTCTAGATTCCACAGGAATCCCCCTGGACTGGCAGCTTTTGCCTGTGAAAGACTAGATAAGACTCAAAGGCACTGGAGAGAGGAGGTGTCACACCTTGCCCTATTATTTTTACTTAGAGTCCATCCTAACTTCCCACTTGAGATCTCCTCCCCACTGGGATGACTGCTCTCCAACAATAGTGGAACAATCCAATGGCTGTAAGGCATACAGAGCACCAAAAATATTATCATTGCTATTACTAGTAGGAATATTTTTACATTAGTTAAAAGAAAAGACACAGAATCTTTTTAATGTCTTACAGACTTAGAGGTACATGTTTTTGTTTTTTTTTTAATATTCACCTGATGTTGTAAACCATGTTGGTAGTCTGTCTATCACACTTAATATGTCCTCTGATTAAACAAAGTGGTTATTTAGGGTGGGGATGGGAGAGAAATTTCTGTCTTCACTTGCCCTGGAATCATATTACTACTATGTGCAAGCAATTTCATCTACATCTTAAGCATAAAGTATGCTTAAGTAAGGCCTTATTATGTTTCAGAAACATGGCAAAAACTCTATCAAACAGGCAACATATGTCTCCAGAGTGATTAAATTTTAAAATATATCAATTTCCTAACATACCACATCTACCAACTGGGAAATTGCAAGACCAAATTTTACTTTGATGGTATCATTCAAGTGCTCGACTGGACGAACCCATCGTTCATAGTCTTCAAATAAATGTTTAAATAAACGGTCTTCACTTTTAGCAATAAAAGAAGGTTCAGATGTACCTGCACAAAGGATGACAATAAAGTTTTATATTTAAAAATGCCAGAGACAATATTTAATATTAAGTCATGTAATTGGCCTTATCACAATAGAGGAAGTTTGGCATAAGGTTAAGCATTACAGAAAGCCGCAGTTCCCTTCTGTTTAAATACATGGAATACAAGAACAGATCGGTATTCTGCAGATTTAGCTTTTGACATTGACAATAAAATATTGGATGGTAATGCACTAAAAATGTAAAACATAAATGAGAGACCTATCTCCAAGTTATGTTTTACTGGAGAGGAAACAGTATTATGCTTAAGTTACCATCCCAGAAGCCAGTGGTAGATCGAAGATGAAGAGTTAAGGATGAAAAAAGCAAAAATTATGGAAGCATGAGTTTTCTACTTATTTATAGTTCGATTAGTCTATAGATTTATTGGTTTGAATACAAATCGACAATTTATGTAAATAGATATGTAAATCAGGCAGAGCATTCAGGCTCCATGCTGAAAGTTAGGCTGTTAGATTTCATTTTGGATGGTATTGAACAGTAATTTTCAGTATCAATAACACTGTATTGCCCTTCTTCTACTTAAAAAAACTTAATTTGTTTTCACTGCAATTGCCAACATATTTCACATTTGAAAGTTCATTTCTGGAGAACTAAAAATGACAGTCATTGCTTTCTCTATTTTATTGAAAATATTACAAGGAATAGAAAGGGGATATTTATGTGTACAAGGGCGCCCAAAGCTAATAAATTGCATTGCCTAGCATTTTGTGAGAAGTATCTAAGATATTGTTACTTTTATTACCCAGTACTGTATTTTTGTACCTTAAATATCATGAAATCATTTAATACTATTTATATTTAGCTAAAAATGTATTTTAGTAGGATCTGCATGTAATATGCTTAGAATTCCATTCTAAACTTAGCCTGTGAGCTCATATTTTAAAATGGAACAATTCAAAGACACTTTAAAATTGTTTAATGAAGAACAAAGAAACCATTTCGAATTTACTAGCATGCTGAATCACCCATATTTTACTTCAATACTTATTCTGGCACTTTAATGTATAAAATGCTATTCTCAAACTCATTAGATGATGTCCGTTGATAATTAACTTCTAGGGATATGCAAATCATTTAAAACTGCCCAACTTCTTTTGCTGAAAAAAAAAAATGAAATAAAATGGCTACACACGTGCAGAAGATAGCTAACAACAATTCTGAAGCAGCAACTCCGTGAAAAGATGTGGTTCATGCATTGCAGAGTGCCTCTTTTGGAAGATTTGAACAGCCCTATTTTCGGGTTACTGAAGCAGAGAAAATCCTGCCATCCCTATTCTGTGGCTAAACAGGGACTTGGGTCCTGGCACCTAAGACTATGCTTTCTGCTGATGAAACACAAAGGTTCCATTAATTATAGTAATATAAGCCTATTTTTTTAATCTCAGTGAGGAAACAGTGATTCAAACTGTTTAAAACGGTGGTTCTCAACCTTTCTAATGCCGCGACCCCATAATACAGTTCCCCATGTTGTGGTGACCCCCAACCACTTATACATCACCGGGTGCCAGGGGCGTGGCCAAAGAAAAGGGGGAAAAAACGGCGGACAGCCTTGTTTGGCGACCCCCGTGAAATGGTCATTCGACCCCAAATGGGGTCCCGACCCATAGGTTGAGAACCACTGGTTTAAAAGAACAACACTTGTTCTGATTACACAAGGCAGCTGTCCTGTTCACAAAATGTGGTTCTTGATTATTGCTTTTAGAAATAATTCTATTACAATTCACCATTTGCTTGGGTTGTATTTTTAAAAACTGATTATGTGCCATTAAGTCGGGATTGTCTCTTAGCAAGCACAAGAGATGGATTTACTCCAAGAGAATCTGTCCCCAACCTGGTTCTTCAGGTCTTCCAATGGTGTAGCCATCATGGCAGTAACTGAGTCATTAGATTAATTTTATGTCAATAAGCTTGGATGTTCTCTAGCTGTACCACAAAGTTTCTTCATTTGATTTCACAATCTAAAAGAAATGGTTCAGATTAGTTTTTTTTCTTATACGATCTGTCACAGAAGGAAGATGACTGAAGAATCCCCCTTGCAGCTATTAGGACTCAAAACACCTATAGGATTTCTATTTTTACTACATTTAAACACCACACCTGGGAACATTCTTATTTGAATAAAATTGTTTCTTGCCTTCAACTTCAATGTATCAAAGAAGGAACTGTTTTAGTGAGAAAAACAATGGCCATAGAATAGTAGAAGAGGGCAATGAAATTGCAGGTATCCAGAATGGGAATAACCAAGTGTATGTGAATAAGTACTGCATTGGCATTCTCAGTTTCTTCTGAAAAAAACAAAACAAAAACCACAAACTGCACATCTGTTTAACCTGGATCTATCAAAAATCCTTTTCATTACATACAGAGAAAAGCTCTTAAAGACATTCTGCTAACTTGTACTTCTATTCTACACATCCAGAGTTACAAAAATAATATCTAAACCTTCAATCCTTCTTCAAGTCAGGTTGAAAATATCTGTCTCCCCAAGACAAAAATATGTCCCTGCGGTCTTAACCATTAAATTCTCTACCACAAAAGCTCTTTATCAAGTGACAACCCTTGGTAAAAACAGAAAACTCCTTTTCTATTTCGGCCACAGCAAAATAAGGGAGAAAAGATGAACTCTTTCGAGGGCTTCTGAAAAACTGGAAAGAGCAACAGTTGGCAGATGTCTATCTAAAGACAGAATGGGAATAAGAATCAGACCCTCTTTTGGTTTACAAAAAAGTATTTTGTTCATCCTGGGCAAATCATTTGTTATTGCTTGAATGAATGAATGAACACTTTGCTAAATCCTGCCTTCAAGATATGGGTTTTTTCCCCTCTTCCTTCTCACCAATGCAGCACATTGGACTGTAGCAAACCCATTCCTGCCCTTCAGTTAACCACTGCAGTTATTAATGTTTGAATCTGCACTTCTAGATAAAGTCTTCCAGATGCAGACACAAAGTCTTACAAAAACAGATTACAGTGTCTCTTAGGAAAGGCTGGATAGATCAGGTTGCAATTTTTTGTCATCAGATAAGGACAGTAATCCTGCAATACGACAGCAGAATAAGGCTGTAATAATACACCCCCCCCCCCCACCTTAGCCCACTTACAGAGGCATCAGCCTCAGGGAAATAACAATAGAAGTTGCTTTCCAAATAGAGAAACCCAGAATGGAAATAGGAAAAAGCAGCCAGTATATAGTACTACATATATATCCTTTTATTTTACTTATTATGAAATGTATTTGCCGCCCCCTCATATCCAACAGCTATGTATATAAGTATGGATGGATGAACCAGATATAGAGAGGGAGAGAGAGATATAGACAGACAGAAGGCAAACAGACATAGAGAGCGAGAAATATAGATAGATAGACAGATAGACAGACAGACGGACGATGAACTGACAGATGGATAGATATATAGCCAGGAAGATAGAAGATATATATATATATCTTGCATCTATGCACATACAAATCTAGGCATTTGCACACTCATGCACTCTCCCCTCCAACCCCTCCCTGCAGCAATGAATTTGCACGCCCATGCACACCTGCCTCAACCCCCCCATCCACCTCAGGGTTACTTCGTGAGGGGAAGCAGTTTATAAACACTTTTAATAAATATATCCAACATCCCCGCCCATGCAAAGCCCCCACAGCCAGCAGACAGGCTGCTTTTAGAGTTTCTACTTCATGCAGCAAAACTCCTGCGCAATAGTTGGGACCCTATTCGCTTTCCCCCCCCCCGCAATATAAATTCCTATTAATTTGGACGGACAGTCCCGGGCTGGCTGGCTGGCTCTTCTTCCCCCGATATAACTGCCCCTTCGCGAGCATCTCCTGCGTGGTTCTTCTTGGACTAAGCGGGCCAGGCGCCTGGCGCGCGTCTCGGGCGCTGAGGCATTCACACGAGCGCGGGGCTGCACGCGTGTCTCCGCGTTTACCCAGAGAACGGGCTCCGGAGGCTCCGTGGCTGGCGGAGAGGAGGAGGAGCAGGAGGGGAGCCTCGGCCATGGCCCCGAGCGGCGAAAGCGGCCGCGGGACGTGGAGCGAGCCGCGGAGCCGCTTCTCCTCAGCCGCGCCTCAGCCGGGAAAGCCCGGCGGTCTCCGCTCAGCCGCCCAAGCCCCGCCCCGGGGCGTGGCTAGAAAGGGCGGGAAAGCCGCGAGGCCGCTCGCCACAGTTGGGATTGGCCTACAACTCCCAGCAGCCTCGCAGCTCCATTCTCAGCGAGGGGCTGATGGGAGTTGTAGGCTCCCTCCGTTGTACTGGCGAAGGTGCTGCCCTGAAGTAGGTAGGGCCAAGTTTCAGCAAACTCAAAACTTTGCTCCACAACGGTCAAACTCGTAAGCCTACCTCACAGGGTTGTTGTGAGGAGTGTCAAAGAAAGCTAGGACACACAGAGTAGCAACTCAGTTATCTATAAAATAATAATGGTGGAATAAAAACTTTTATAAATAAATACACGGATGCATTTATAAATAAATAAAACTGATGAATTATTTCCTCAATTACTCTTTTTTAGGTGGGTTGAGAGCTTAGGTTTTGCATTTTACTTGGAGAGGCTAGATGGAACACAATGTTTAGTGTTTTGAGGGTGCTGAAAAAAAAAGATTTTACAACTGGTCCTCAAACTTATGACCATCACAGCGGCCCTGCAGTCACATAATTCAGGCCTTTGGTATCTGCATGGGTTATGGTGGTTGCCACATCTTGGGAGTTGTGTGTGCCATTTGCAACCTTTCCAGCTGACTTTGATAACTGAAGCGAAGGGAGAACGGTAGACTTGCTCAATGACCATGTGCCTTGCTTAACAACTGCAGCAATCTTCTTAACGACCATGGGAGAAACGGTGACTCACTTAACAGCCACGTTCCTTAGAAACAGAAGTTGGGATCCCAATTGTGGTTATAAGTCAAGGAGTTCCTGTACCTTGCCTCCTTTTCCCCCTTTTCCTCTTGATAAAATCCAAAATCCTAACCAGCATAATGTTGAGCTATGTGCTGCCAAAAGCGTTTGAAAAATTAATAAACAGTTAAGCACTGATTTCCCAGGACACCGTCTTGTTATCAATCCAGACACGGCTGCAATTGTGCAGCAGCTGCCTTGAAAAGCGCCTGGCAAAGTGCTAAATTGTATTATTTCACGAAGGCTTCCCCCCCTTTTTTTGCATTTCAGTAAGCTCTCCCGAAGCCTGTAATTAAAAATATTCCAGCAACGATCAAAAACTCCTTAAGCCACTGTGCACATTTCTAAGCGTAAATCCTCATTTTCACTCGGAACCCCAAGTTTAGCACAATAACAAAAAAGAAAACCTGAAAATGTTTCTATCAGCAAGATCTGGTATGCTGCAGCATCTTGTGGTTTCAGCCAGAGAGTGTCCCAAGGAAACGCAGAGGGAAGACAAGGAAGAAGTAACTTAAACTTGGATATTATTATTATTGTGACAAGACTGTTCACTTTTTTATTATGTAATATAAAAGATACAATGACAAAGAGATTTCTGTTCACTGAGGAAAGAGGTGATGTGTTTCAGTGATATAAAGGAACGGATTCAATAAACAGCCCTTCAAAAACTGAGCCAGTTTATGGAAACACCCTCCTTCGGGGTACTTGATTTATTTATCTTTTTCTTTCTGCTCTTTTTCTTTCTTTTCACGCTCTGCTTTGGCTTCTTCTTGTTCGTGTTTCTTTATCAATACTTCTACTTCTTTTTGCTTCAAAACTCTTATTATCGTTTTTCCATTCTCTCGTGTCAGGGTGGCAATTTCAACTGGAACATAAAAGATGAAAAAGAAGATGGGAAGGAAGGAAGGAAGGAAGGAAGGAAGGAAGGAAGGAAGGAAGGAAGGAAGGAAGGAAGGAAGGAAGGAAGGAAGGAAGGAAGGAAAGAAGGAAGGAAGGAAGGAAGAATGTCTGAATGAGGTCTGATTGCATCAAAAAATATACCAACCAAGTGGACCTCAGAGAACTTATTAAAGATCTCTTGTACTAGTTTTCCAATTGGCATTTTTAAAGCAATTTTTCACAGCACCCAGAATATTGTAGAAAACTATCTTTGGCATTATGAGAGGTGATATAGCCCAACACATTTATTGCAAACTTTTCTACCATGCCCCATTTGAAGACTTCAGGAGCTTTATAGGTAGCAATACATGATTTAAACTGTTATTATTCTTATAAAACAATGCAATTACCTACTAAAGTCAACAGGGCTAATTAAAACAAGAAGATATAAATTCACAATCCATATCTCAAAATCTAATTCAAGACAATTCAAAGCCCCTAATTACCAAAGACTCGGAGTAACAGGACTGTTTTAACTACACCATCCTAAAATTCAGCAAGCTTTTAAATAAGTAAGTACAATAGACCAGGAACTAGCAACATTCTAACAGTTGTAACAGCACCTCTCTAAGGAAATCAAAACTCATATCCAAGATTTCATATCCAAGGCTTACCTTTCTCTGCTGACAGTTTACTAACGTCCATAGTTTTGTTCAGGACTTTGATAGCTAAAGCAAGTGCAGATTTCAAAGTCATATCTCCCTCTTTGTAATCTTGTTTTAGCATAGATACAGCTGCCTGTTAAAGAACAGAAAAGCACTGTAGTTGATTCTTGTTGATCCATCCATCCATCCATCCATCCATCCATCCATCCATCCTCTCATTCCTTCAATTTTTAAAGCTGCCCAGTGACTCTGGGCAACTTACAATCCTAAAACTACATAAAAATAGCAAAGCCCGATACTCCAAACTACACGTACGATACTTCCATTCCTCAAAATAACCATAAATATCTTAATTGTCCACCAGCATCAGCTAAAAATAAAACCAACACAAGAATATAAAAAGAACAAAGGCATGATGTAAAGTGAGCCACAGCAATATTAAAATCCATTAGGAGTTTCTGAGGAAAAGGCACATTAGCTTTACTTCGTATCTAAAGTTAATAGACTTTTCTTTGGAAGACCCTCTTAGTTAAAAAATGCCTGAAACCTGCCCAAATCCAGTCTGTAAAACAATCCGGATCTACAGATCCCCAAATCCCTGCCTTAATAGCCTTGGTTTTTCTCTTCCACACAATTATTTTTCTACCTACTAAGTTAGAAGTTCTTTTTTTTTAAAAAAGTTTTATTAATTTTCCAGTTTTACAAAAATCCAAATATTAAGGAAGCAGCGTGGTGATTGGGTAATCAATAGTCCAATAACAACATCTTTCGTACATATCTCAGGTTGCATTATCAAAAATTCCCTCTCTATTTCCCTTGATTATTATATCACATTCAAATTAATACACTGCTAATTATAATTTGATCAATTAAGACATTTATCAATATATTTTAACATACATATCCATATCCTGTTTTAAATTTTTACCTAATTTCAATTACAGTGTTAGAAGTTAGAAGTTCTTTAAGCCAGAGTTCCCCAAACTTTTTGGCTTTGCGGACCAGTGGGACCGGGGGCGGGGGGGGGGCGAGGAGAAGGGATGGTTCCATATGTTATGGCAAGCAAGCACACACACAGCTCCATTGTGGGGATGCGCGCATGAACTTGCCCTCCACTTATGCAGCCTGGTTCTGAAAGGCTCAAGGCCTGGTAGTGGGGGGTCATAGCCCAGGGCTTGGGGACCCCTGCATTAAGCTTTCAAACATGCAGGAGAAAACATGAACACTGAAGACTGGAGGCTAAAACATATGAGGGACAGTTGCTGGAATTGGATATTCTGACTCAGGAATTCTGAGAGTTGAAGTCCATGAGTCATAAAAGAGCCAAGGTTGCCTACCCCTGGTCTAGTTTAACGAAGAGAAGGACAAGGGGGGGCATGATAGCAGTCTTCCAGTATCTCAGGGGCTGCCCCAAAGAAGAAGGAGTCAAGCTATTCTCCAAAGCGCCTGAAGGCAGGACAAGAAGCAACGGGTGGAAACTAATCAAGGAGAGAAGCAACCTGGAACTAAGGAGAAATTTCCTGACAATTAGAACAATTAACCAGTGGAACAACCTGCCTCCAG